TTCTACAAACGTATGCTTTTGGCGTCTCTACATAAGTTTTGACTTCCTCAAAGTGGAGCTAAATACCCCTGCACAACCTGAAATTCCATGATTTACAAGTTAATGAAATTGTTAAGCTGAACAGATTGGCTTGTCCTACTCATGACAATTTGGTTTATGTCATGCTCTTTGTAACAACTGGGGTTGGCTGCTATGTTGGCAACCACATACATTTCCTGCATGTTGGTTTGGTTTGGTGACTGAACTAACAGACGGTTGTGCATGCAACCAAGGTGGTGCGAGGTTAATGTTTAGTGCGAAAATTGTAGGATACGTTACTTTGAAGACTCATCTCATCAAAAATATGTCCTGATCAGGGTTTCTTAGGTCTTGTGCTAGTTTAATATGCACACCAACCTCTAGTACATAAAATTTTCTCCTGTGAGTCGTGATTGAAATGTATATTTGGTCGAAAGTAGTGCACGTAGGCCTGTACTCGGCTGTAGTTTCAGTAGTTAAGATTCCCTCGTGTAATGCGCAATTCGGTGAAGTGCTAATTTCTCACCTGGGGTGAGATAGGCAATAAAACATGGTCAATGTTCAGAACAGTTTTGCACCTTGCTTAATTTCTACACCACGAATCCTTTTCAGGATTCAAGACATATTCTTGTCCACATACTTCAAAACAGCATTAAAGTACACAGCTTCGACAAACGCCATTGGCTGTATCTTGAGAGAATTCAGACAATTAAAGACAATCTACTTGCAATTCAGTTATGCCTTAACCACTTGGTGCTTCAATGTCGAAAAGTCCACTTTCACAAAGCCTAGAGTCTCAACTTTCATGGAAATTCCACTAGCATTCGGACGTATAGTAAAACCATCTCTTCGCAGCGGCTGCTGTTTCTCCCGCAGCTTTTCAACTTCCAAATAGGCAGTGCCGCAGGGAAAAAATTCCTGCGCATGTTCTTGTGCAAGCTCCCGCTGAATGTCAGCCAGCTGCGGAATAGACACAATCTCGTCAGTCGTCAGCAACCTAACAAGCATTGCTGGCTTACCTGCCCAAAGTCCACTCGCTGCATCCTGCAGTTCAGGCGCCAAGATGTACCCCGAAGCGAGCATGGAATTATTCTCTCGACCGAACCTAACAGAAACACATACCGAATTTCAACAACAACTTTGTCCCACACTGAACACGATCTCAAAGCAGTGAACGCCCCGATTGAACAGTATTATCCGATGAAGGTCTTGGCCGACAGCCGTATGGTCGTCGTGCTCGCCGTGTGCAGCACACAACTATCCCCGATGCTGGACCAAAACCCTACCATAATGCGATTCAAGTCGCCACGCAGGTCCGATCCGCACCACACCGTCGCGCGATCCTGCACTTCCACTGCTCCCGCGAGCACCGCGTTGAACGCCACAAATGCTTCCACCGCCACGACCAGCACGAAGTTGACAATTTCAAATTGCGGCTTATTTATTGAAAAGTTCAGTTACTGGCTTCATGCGAAGGAACAATTTGCATGATAGCATAGCTTAATCCATGCTGATGCACAGAAATACTGACAAAGACAGTTCTGATTATCTCACATTTGCTTAACTGTCCTTATGAATTTTGCTGCCAAGGGCGAAGTTCTTAGTTACACAGAGTGTGATCATGCTGTCCCGATTACAGGCCAGAAAATTCTAATGCTTGCACTTAGCAAAATTATTCCCAAGACAGAATGCACACAGGTACACTACGTATCAATTTACTTTTTCAAAGATGAACTGGAAGCACAAACTACATGCGGAGCCTGATTTTGGTGTTCAGATGGATATGTTGAACCTCATCAGCCAGAAGTAGGCTTTTTCTGAACATGGCTGCAACTTCATGGAGATTTGTCGTTGCTTCTCTCAGTCGCAACTTTAAGATTGCTAGGACCAGGCCAATGCCGAACTGAATGAAGAACAGTGTTTCTGAGTAGGAAATTGCAATCTCAAAAAGTTTTCACTGCAGTCTGTGAACTAGTTTCCTTGAGGCTTTTGATCAGGAATTAAGTGAAGATAAGGATGTGTGAATGTTCGTTAATTCTCTGCTGGTAGTTTACCTCATTAGTAAGGGTTTTATTCCACATTTAGCAGATCTCTCCATTTCAAGTGATCCATTTCAAGCCTCAAATGTTTCTCTCAATTTATGAGTAGAACAGATACGTATACCTATCACACGCACAGCGTGTAAAAACCTCGTGGAAAAAGAGTAGCTACAGGATGGGCGACAAGTATCTGCAGGTGATTTTTGATACTGACCTTGTGACGGATGCCTTTGAATTAATGTACTCGAATCAAGAAGCACGTCTGGAACTTGAATCACAGGTACTCAGTTCTAACATAGTTGAATCAGATTCAGTAGCATACATTGCAGTTCAAGTTCGGTAAGAACACAAGACTACAATGCATGCATTCTTTCAGTGATTGGTTGAACTTGCCCTACAGTTATTTCCGTATTGTTGTTAAATGCTTAGATGTGTTTTTCTTGCTGATTTGTAGGCTATCGTGAAGAGCTTCACAATTACTACTTTAGATGAGTTCCAACTCGGGAAATTTGTAGGGTGTATGGTATCAAAACCAGAGTACGTCTTCCTGTTCACCCTCCTCAATTTTTGTGTTTTCTTTGTATATTTTGTGTATTTTTTTGAGTTTGTTTATAATTGTAGCATTTCCTGTTATTTCTTTATAGAAGTCTTCGAAGTGCGAAGCGAAGCTTGGGGCGGTATTTTAAGCAACTCTAGCTGTTACACAACTGCGAAGTAATGAAAGAGATTGTTCATGGTTAAGGGGATCATCATCTGTAGATGCTCTTGGGCACAAAGTTGATGTTGCAAAAGAGGAAGGCCAAAGTTGGGAAGCCAATGAATGACAACGAAAATGGGGATTTTCCAGTACCTTCGACTGTGATTGTTATGGAGAGACATCCCACTCACGATGAGGATACAAGGGAAGATGCTAGAGAGAATTCACAGAGATGAGTATTTCGACACACGTAACCAGCTGTTCCTTTTTTTCTTTTCTTTTTTCTTTTTTTTAAGTTTATATTTAGATCAGTGCAATGTGATGTTCATTTAGAAAAATGTATGAACTAAATATAAAACCCGCCCTACTGATTGCTGCAGAAGTAGAAACTGTCAAAGCGATACAGAAACTGTCACATTTTGCTGCATTCATCTGTGAGCTCATTGAAGGATCTCCACTCGTTTGGAGTTTTACTTTACTTGCAGTTGTACCGGTTTAATTAGATTCCTCATGTGCAGGCTCTTCCCAGCATTCCTGTTTTGTAAATCAGGAGGCCACACTCACAGACGAAAGTGATCACAATCGGCAGACGATGACATTTCAGGGAAAACGAAGCGAAGAGGGAGTCAAGATTGTAATGATAAAGGTGATATATCGATGTAGAGTTTGTACATACGTCCTCGCTCAAAGCCCTGTCATGTAAATAAGCTGAATCAATGACACATCTTAAAATCATATCCACTTCTCTGTTTCAACAGTTTTTGTTTTTTTTTTTCGTGACCCCTTAAATGAAAAGTTCTTCGCAAGGACCTATGGAAATGAGGGTATCAGAGATGGAGGCCAGGTATTATCCATGCACAACTTTTGTGTTCTGCCTCGTAATTCCAAGTTTTCAGGATTTACGAGGCAGATCACATACCTTGCACAAGATTTTTGTTCCTGATCTTAATCCTATGACTGTATCTTCCTCTTCATTAATTTTCATTATTCGATTTGTGTCGTAATTACAGTTGAAAACGTTGCACTCTGGCCAATTCAAGCATGCGGATCGTCACAGGGTTTTGTTTACTACTTCTAGCAGTTGGGAAAATACACTTAGAAAGATCATAGGTTCCACTTCGGATATTCATGATGCAGCTTCAGATGCGTATGGCATAGAGCCAAAACTTTGTGCATGACTGATGTTCAGCTCACTCCACAAGGTATTTGAAGATATTTGAAGTTATTTTCAGACCTGCACAGTTTCTTCATTAAATTGACCAACAATGAAAAGTGGGGTTTACATTGTCACTAGTCAGTGCGGTATATTGTAGACATGTCGACAATACCTTTTTGTGATAGACGTGCTAGTGATACATTCTTTTGAGTACTCATTGTTGCTAAAGGTTTCCAAACAAGTAGAGAATGCTTGAAATCCGAGCCATCCGTGGCAACCCTTCCAACAGTCACATTTTGTATGTGAAGGATTGATTCTTGTTAGATTCCTTTACACTTCAATGTAAACATTCATAACACAATCATATAGACTCTAAACGCGCCTTTAAAATCATTTAATTGGCAGCATGGAATCCCACCAGCTTCGAGATTGCAAGTGGTTAACCCGTGGACTATCACAATATACAGCGACATATCTATGCCACTTTTGCAAGCAATGTTGCAGGTTGTCTTTAGGCATGGCACAACCACAACCCCACGGATGACTCAACAGGAAGTACTTTCATCTGAAAGCGGTGAGAAATATTCGCTTCGTTCACCTTACACATCACTCACTTATTCTGCTGCTTGGATTGGACGGTCCGGTGTGAGTTTCTCGTCATAGATCAAGTTACATTCAACATTTAGACAATGAATTTATATCACCTCTCTCTCTCGATGGGTACCACATTTGACCTGGATTATCCACTCTCGACCAGGATAAAACATGGTATATTTTCAAAAAAAATGCACAGTTACAATCTCGGGTTCCAAAAAGCACCAAGGTACCAGAGGAATTTTGAGATTAATGTTGGAAGTTGTGATTGGAATGCGAAGTCGGTAAAACAATTTCGGTGCGCTTGCTACCGGCCTTCGAAATTCCAAACTTGTGTTTGGCCGGGTACCTGAGAAAGGCAGACGTTGGTCAAACAAAGCAGAGACTAGTAAAACCTGGTGAAGATCTAGTGGGTGGGCAGAGCATGCGGTTGGCCTTGTCCACCTGCTCCCCTCCACCCTTTTGGCACCGCCACTTCATATTTAGTCCATCTTCCTCACTCGTCGGTCTTCATTGCGACCCCCATAGGAGCCGTGATTCTCATGGACCAACTGCAGCCTCATCGCAACTAATCATTATAAGCTCACCTGCTGTTCTCCCCCTCCATCTCGCAAGTTGCAAGTCGTAGAGTAGTGTTGGTTTCCAACAGTGTGGAAGTCCATTCGTACAAATTCTAGTTTTCAGAATCGTGGTGTGTGCGTGTGTGTGTGTGGGCAAGTCAGGTATAGCCGTGGCAGTAACACCAACACTACATAGTTTACAGTGTGAGAGTCGTGGGAAGTGTGTCGCAACGACGATGGCAAGTCGAAGGGTCGAGGCGGCGTTTGATGGACAAGCAGTGGAGCTCGGAGCTACAATCCCTGCTGCAAATGGAAATGGTACTCACCAAAGCATCAAGGTGCCTGGCCATCGCCAAGTCACGCCGGGGAAGACTACAATCATGGCCATTGGACGAGCGGTGCCGGCCAATACTACATTCAACGATGGTCTCGCAGATCACTACATTCAAGAATTCAATCTCCAGGATCCTGTCCTGCAAGCCAAACTCCGGCGACTCTGTAAGCACCCATTTCACTGATTCAATTCGCGTATGAGCATCATCTCTTACGCATGCTTACAGTCAGATTGGAGAATGCTACAGTGGATGATTTGATCAGGTGGTGATGCAACAATTTGTAGGTGAGACAACAACAGTGAAAACTCGGTACCTGGTCGTGAACAAAGAAATTTTGGACGAGCATCCGGAGTTCCTCGTCGACGGCGCTGCGACAGTGAGTCAACGTCTGGCAATCACTGGGGAAGCCGTCACGCAGCTGGGACACGAGGCTGCGACGGCTGCAATTAAGGAGTGGGGCCGCCCCGCATCCGAGATTACGCATCTAGTGTACGTATCCTCCAGCGAGATTCGCCTCCCAGGGGGTGATCTATATCTTGCACAGTTGCTTGGTCTTCGGAGCGACGTCAACCGCGTGATGCTCTACATGTTGGGATGCTACGGGGGCGCTTCTGGGATCCGGGTGGCGAAGGACCTGGCGGAGAACAACCCTGGCAGCCGAGTGCTTCTCATTACGAGCGAGTGCACCTTGATCGGGTACAAGTCCCTGAGCCCAGATCGACCTTACGACCTAGTCGGAGCCGCGTTATTCGGCGACGGCGCCGCTGCGATGATCATGGGCAAGGATCCCATTCCGGTTCTGGAGAGAGCGTTCTTTGAGCTGGACTGGGCGGGGCAGAGCTTCATACCTGGAACGAACAAGACAATCGACGGGAGATTGTCCGAGGAGGGCATTAGCTTTAAATTGGGACGAGAGCTGCCGAAACTCATAGAGAGCAACATTCAAGGCTTTTGCGATCCCATCCTGAAAAGAGCTGGAGGGTTGAAGTATAATGATATCTTCTGGGCTGTCCATCCAGGTCTGCAGTTTACATGCGAAACCCTCTCCTTTCGAGCATTCTGACTCGAGACAACATTGTCTGTATGATTTTTCACTGAACTTTGTTTTGTCTGCAATGTTTTCCAGGTGGTCCTGCAATATTGAACGCTGTGCAGAAGCAACTTGACCTGGCTCCGGAGAAGTTGCAGACAGCGCGACAGGTATTGAGAGACTACGGGAACATCAGCAGCAGCACGTGCATCTACGTGCTGGACTATATGCGCCATCAGAGCTTGAAGCTCAAGGAGGCCAACGACAACGTCAACACTGAACCGGAGTGGGGTCTGCTCCTTGCCTTCGGTCCTGGTGTCACAATTGAAGGAGCTCTTCTGCGGAATCTGTGCTAAAGGATTATCTGTCGACGCAAGCATGTATTATCTTGCAAACCATTAATATCATTGTCGCTCTGAATTGGAGTCAGATACAAACTCATGAACTTATACCCCATAAAGCTCTAGCGGCCGGAGGTGGGCCAATAGCGACAAGAAACAGTTATATTTACATTCAAACGGAGACATAGTTTCAAACTGAGAGAGGGATCGTATTATTCTCAAGGGTTAGACTTCGCGAGTACCTCGAAAAGGTCTTTACATTCCGAACTGCAATATCTACTAATCTTTCGATCTCTTGCTTAATGTCACCCACATCTACCATAAGCAGGGTTGTTTTACAAAATTGTAGCAGACCTCTTGGACTTTCAATAGATCTCCTCAAGTCAAATCTTTCAATGTTTTCAAACAAACCAACTCTATGTGAAGTGCATAATATTGAAAACAAGCTCTTTAATCTCGTTAATTGTCCAATATCTGTTGCATATTGAAGTTGCAACATTCAGTCTGACGTAGCTATTGCAGATTGAGTTACTCTAGCGGGACAATCATAACAAGCACATGCTTATGGAACCACATGTACGCCAACGAAAGTCGTTCATTACTGTCCAGAACATCTAGTTAGCAGTAACAGTGGGATGGATTAACGTGGGCGCTTGTTGTTAACGCAAGGTAATCAAAACCAGGACAGTGAATCAAATTAGCAGCTTCTACTGATAGTATAATCTTTGGTCCTCTGTGCAGTCATTGCTCAAGACAGCTTACTCTGTCCAGTTTATTGCCATTAGCGTTTGCTCCAATGACAGGTAATAAGTTTGCCACTCTTCGGATCCATAGACTTAAACTGTGAGACATGGGGGTTGTGGACCTGCGCATGGTGATCGAATTGCAACTTAACGTCGTTGATTCGAACCTTCGCTTGAAGAGCTGCTCCCAAACCATGACTGTAGGTTGTTCACAGCCGTTTTTTCGGTGACCAAGTCGATGACATTCATGTGACCTTTGAGGAATGAAGTTATAAAAATGAGTTATTATGTGGGTCATGTCCTGCTGTAGCGAGAATGGGCATTGATCCCCTTGATCGACAAGCTGACCTTTCCCCTGGGATTGCTGAACATGAAACTGCAGGTCGAGTCGCATATAAAGCTGAAGAAAACGTTCCTTGTGGAGAGCAGCTGGAAATTTCTTAAATTAATTGAACCATTCCCTGTTTCCATCGAGAAATCTCTAGCAATTCTCTAAACGTTTTCTGCTTCCTTCATTGTTATAAGCGCGCCTTCTAGAAGACCTGTTCCCATTTGATATCTCGACCTTCTCCAGATTGATGTCATATAATCCATTTCTATATCAAGAATAATTGAAATTAGAACTGGGAACAAATTGCTCAGCATTATGTATAAATGTAATCAGACCATGCAGAACAACAGTATACAATACTTGTGTTAAAATGGAATCATCTTAAGCATTTAAAAATATTGGTTCACTTCAGTCAAAATGTATTTTTGAGGTTTAGAAGGGGATCCTTTGAAGGGGCCGAATGATTTGAAAGCCCCTGCTGCTGAACACCAGAAAAAGCACCTGCACCGGCAAGATTGGTGTGTTCAGTGCAGTGTCTCATATTAACTCTACACCCAAACTTGAAAGCTTAACCTTGATGGTGACCAGGGACTTAATCTGATGATCGACCATTCCACAGATCAATGTCCGGAGACAACCGACATCCAGGTGCAGGTTAACCGAGTTGAATACACAAGTCACCGATGAAACCTTCAAACTGCAAGATGAAAATATTTTCATCTTGCAAGTACATTATTTTTCATTTTTCATCGCGGTTTGATGATGAAAAATAATGTAACTTGATGATTTAAGCAATTCCTTCTCAGAGAGTAACAAATGTTTTCCAAAGAAAGGTTAAAAGGTCAATTCTACTTACAGTTTTCATAAAAACAAAATCAGATGTACGTCTGCAACTATGCAAAAGGAGATCTGACCTTCAGGTACAGACTAAAAAGCGATGATTTCATTTTTTATCGTGTAGCTAGTGTGGATATAACAAGAAGAATCATAAGAACGATTCAAGGAAAATGAAACAATAAAATACTTAACTTGTTACCAATGTTGATGCATAAAGTATAAGTACAGAGGTTGAGATCTAGAAGTATAGGATCTCATTATAATAGTTTGACATGTATCTATCTTTAAACTTCATCCAATGGATGTGAGTTTGACAATTAACAATATTATATTTTTCAACACTACTTCTCCTTGCAAGCCTTGCATCAATGGTGAGTGGTTTTAGGACTCAATATTTGGTAGACTAATGAAGATGCAAAAGTAGTCTTCCAATGGTTTGTCTTCTTGTTTACTTGCACAAATCACTAAAGAAGAAGTGATAACATTATTGGATGAGTGCTTTAATCTATATTGGCCTTCTACTTCATCACCAAGATATTTGATAGTGGTGTCCAGTTTAATAGAGGCATCATTAGAACTACAAATATATCAAGTATTAATGTTTTTAAATTTTTTGTAATAGGATATAAAGTTTGATATTAGAAATGATATAGAAGTGTCTTTAGAGACATATAGGAGGTCCAAATTTGATGTTGAAAGGTCTAATGATGTAGAGTCTAATGTGAATATAAAAGATCTTTAATCTTTGTGGTTATTATAGAATAACAAATCAACAATGGAAGATAATGTATCCTCAATTCCAACATCTTTGTCATCATTGGCATTATTGAATAAGGCTTCTTGAAAATAAAAATTTTAGAAGAATTTGGCACAAAGTGCTATCATTATAGAATTTAATTTAAAAAAATAAGTTTTATCAAAGAAGACATCACAAGTGACTTCGATTTTTAAAAAAGTATGAAGATATATTCTCTAATATTTTGTTTATCATCAATTTCTAGATAGTTTCTAAATTCTAATCTAGACTTAAGTTTGTGACTTGTTGTATTATTTTTTTTTAATAAAGCAAAAATACCCAAATATTTTTATTCAATTAATATCTAACTTTGTTTTGTAGAAAAGATAGTAAAAAAACATACATTTATTTGCTTGAATAAGACTGCAATTTATAAATTGAATAATAGTGAGGGCAGCTTCAATATAGAAAAATAAAAGTATGCTCTTACTTATCAATATGATTTGTATCTTCTCAAGATAGTTTTTCTTTTTCTTTTTGATACCTCATTCTATTGAGGTATGCACACAACAAATAATTGACATATGATACTTTAGTCTCATTAATACTTGATAAACTCTTGTAACATAAACTTACTACTTCAGTCAAATTGAAGCAACAAAATGGAATTTGAGGTTTGTCTTTCAACTAATATATTATTTTTTAAAAATATTTCAAGGAATTTATCTTTTGTGATTTTTCACAAAAGTTATAAGTAAATACAATAAAATAATATGAATAAACTCAAAACTTGACTAAAAAGGCTCATAGACATTGATATATATAAATTATAGAGATTTTGTAGTCTTAGTTGTTGGTACTTTAGGAATTTGGATTCTTGTTGTTTATCTCAATAATAGTGATTTCATCTTTGAGTTTTTACATAATAAGAAGGGAGTCTTAAAATTAAATTATTTATTTGCATATGTTCAAGGCTCTAGTAGTTTATGTACTTCAAATGCAAGTGCTAGAGATAGATGAGAGAATCAATAGATTTGTGAGGTGTTTCTAATTTATAGTATTCCACATTATGTTTAGGTATCTCTGTTGGTTTGATTTCAATGTGGATATCAAAATTATGTGTAGCTATTTTTTCTAATTTATATATTTTATTTTTAAGATTCCTTCTATCTTTGCTTATGATTCTATGTGGATTGTTGGTAGAGAAAACAATGCATTGTTTGGATCTAAAAATGCAAAAGTTGCCAATGTTTGCAATTAAAAGAATATTTCTTCATAGACTAAAGACATAACAAACCTCTTTGAAGGTTTTTATTTCTCCAATAGGTATAGACAAGATCACAAACCCATGTCCTACAATTACATAGGCATTGCCTCTACCTAAAGTTATTGTTCTACTATGAGTGTAGCTTATTTGATTGAAAGTAGAGTAGTTTCTAATAAAGTGCTTAAAAACACTAGAGTCTAAAATCCATTTTCTTTCATCTTTGTCACCAAGTACTAGTAGTTCAAAGGCTTCTTAGATACTTTTGTCACTTGGTAGATTAGATGAGGTAGGATCTCTATAAAATTCTTTAATAATATTGATACCATGATTATTTTATGCTATTGATGTAAAAAAAAACCGCTTGGATTTCCAACATTTGGATGAGTATTGAGATTGGAGTTTGTATAGCTTTAGTAAAAAAATCATGTTGATTGGCACACAGTAGATATTTGAGATATGCCCTTTAATGTCACATTGATGACAAATGAATGAGCCTTGTAATGGTCTTTATTGATGGTAGTAGAATCCTTAAAGGCCATTTGCTCCATATTAATTCTAAACCTAATAATGAAGGTGTCCTCGCTAAAATTTGTTGTGCTAGAGATTTCTAATCCGCATAATAAGAGCTTCATTAGTAAGTTCTTAAATTTTTTTGAGTATTGCATTAGTTTCTTCTATATGCAAATGACTCTATAACTCTTCTAGAAAAGGTAAGACTTTTTAATTTTGCATATGAGTTACAAGTTTTGAAAATATTTTGATAAACAATTTAATATTCAATGAACTAATACTACTAGAGGTTGCATCAAGTTTATGGCTTTTAGACCCCTAATAACATCATTAACATGTTGCATAAAAGAATTAATATCTTAGTGTTTGCTTATTTGTAGGTGTTTTCAATAATTTTATACAACCATAGTGTCAAAAATAGTATTTGTTAGAAATATATTCTTAAGACAATTCACTAACTACTTGCTGAAAATATAATATTGTTTATTGTCAAACCTATGTCCATCCATTGGATACAGTCTATAAATAGATATATGTCAAATTATTTTGTTAAGATCCTGTACTTTCGGATCTCAACTTGTGTATTTATACCTTATGCATCCACAATGGTAACAAGTTAAGTATTTTATTGTTTTAAGTTCTTTGAATTGTTCCTTTGATTCTTCTTGTTATTTCTAGATGGTATTGAAGCAAACATTTTTGCTAAGTGTATTTTATTTTTTAAGCATTGCTATTTTATCAAAGTTCTTTCTACTCTTTTGTTATTAACAAACATTGACTTATTTTCCTTGTTTATCAAAGTTTCTCTTTTAAGATATAATAGCAGCTATAGACAATGTCTTCGTTTTCCATTTCTATCCAATTCTCTTCCACTTATGGGTTGGATTTTACTAGAGATATTAGATAGATTGTGCTACATTTCAGGTCAATAGTTCAGACGGCACAGAAGCCATATAAGTTGACCATATGGCTCAAACAACACCTATAACAGCAACCAGTAACAAGTCAATCAATCAAGCTTTCGATAATTCAAATAAAATAAAATTATACTTTTCAGAAAGAAAAAGTCAATAAAAAATTCTCTCTGTATTCATTGAGTAAAGGAATGTCTTTTGCGTCCTCCTTAAACTTGTGAATCACGCACCTCCCTTGCACCCAGTCACATTGAAAAGTTCAGATACTTGCATAATCATCTGCCGAAGGGAATCCATAAATTTTTCAAAAAATAAGATGAATGAAAGAAGTGTTTGGATGGATGGGTGTACTGCTTTAGAAAGCATTTGTCTGCGGGTTGTCTGCAGACCAATGTTTTGCTGGTTTGCAGGCGATGGAGTTCGTGAACAGCGGCGGCCGGCTGCGTTGTTGCGAAATGGCATGAACGTACAGGTATTGTTTAGGGTGTTTCACTCTGCCCCGCTTTTCCGTTTCATATAAGCATTGTTGAAGACGTTGTTCGAAGTTGAGGATCAACGCATCCTCGGGTTCTCCGATTGTCACAATGTCATCCGTTATGCAGATATGCCTGCTTCTAACTGTAGCAAATCCAAGATGTCTGCTGGCACTGAACCTAACTCTACTTCTCCGTGTGTTGTATGTATGGTTGAAGAATTTGTTCGAAGTTGAGGATCGGGCAATGCTGAGGGTTTCCCAGATATCTCAATGTCGTCCGTCATGCAGTTGGGACTCCTTGCCCGCAGTGTTGCATCCTCCGATCCTGGTGAAGTTGGTATTCGAAGAACTTTTCAGGCTTCCCTTGGTTTCGAAATACTCTTTCAGTGCCTCACAGAAGGTGGTTACGTGCGGAGATTAGCCCATTTCAGCCCTTGGGTATTCAGAGGTTAATGGAAGTAAAGGGGGATTCTGGCATTGGATGTGGTAGTCGAGGGGAAGACGACAAAACTGGATCTGCCCGTGGCTTCATGGCACCATCGCTCAGCTTGAGAAGCGCGACGATCTTTTCACTGAAACCAAGAGTTTTATTGGGGTTCACGAGGTATTACGGGGTTTTTTGTTAAAATAACATTTAATAACATTCTTTTAAGATAACCCACATGTATTGGGTGATGGTCTTTTCCATATGATTAATACAACAACTACTTACACATCCTTAAAATCCTATAGCCATCATGATAAATTTCAGTTAATATATGAAATTTTTATATTCAATAAATTGGATAAATAAAAGAAAATTTTGGATGAATGAAAGAAGTGTTTGGATGGATGGGTGTACTGCTTTTAGGGTTTGAGAAAGCATTTGTCTGCGGGTTGTCTGCAGACCAATGTTTTGCTGGTTTGCAGGCGATGGAGTTTGTGAACAGCGGCGGCCGGCTGCGTTGTTGCGAAATGGCATGAACGTACAGGTATCGTTTAGGGTGTTTCACTCTACCCCGCTTTCCCGTTTCATATAAGCATTGTTAAAGACGTTGTTCGAAGTTGAGGATCAACGCATCCTCGGGTTCTCCGATTGTCACAATGTCGTCCGTTATGCAGATATGCCTGCTTCTAACTGTAGCAAATCCAAGATGTCTGCTGGAAAAGAACCAGGACAGTCGGTGGAAGGCGAACTGGAACGCCTCAAAGTGTGCTCCCCCACGCCGGGGAGTTGGGATGCCTTACCCGCGGAGTTACATAATCCGATCCTGGTGAAGTTGGTATTCGAAGAACTTTTCAGGCTTTCCTTGGTTTCAAAATACTTCTTGAGCGTCCCTCAGCAGGATAGCTTCAGAAGGTTACGCGCGGAGGTTTGTCCCGCAGAGGGTCACTTCAGTCCTTTGGTATTCTTTGTGGAGAAAGGGCAGTGGAACATATTAGGGTTTGATAGCCTGAGTGGAAAGTGGAGAAGGTTGCCACCACTGAGGAGCCCGATTCCAATTCCAGAGCCGGAATTATTCAAGGATTTCCTGGTTGCTGGCCATGTTGGTCTTTTCTGCATGAATGTTGGTAAAGCCTCAGAATCCGAGAAGCTGTTAGTCACCAACCCTTTGGCTGGCGAAGTGTATCCATTACCCGATTTGATCCACCCCCGTCACCCGGTGGCCTTATCCCTGCACGTGACCAAAACTAAAAAGACCATCTGCGACTCAACCTTCCGAGTAATAGCGGTCGGCAGTGCAGCAGTTGGTTCAGAGCATAGATCAAGGAAAACGGAAGTTTATTGCTCTTCCAAGGGAAATTGGGAAGTTCTTGAGGATGTTCCAGGGACATACTTCTCAGTGAATGACTACCAGACCGGAGTATACTGTGAGAACCAGAACGTATTGTTACTTACAGGGTTTATGGTTAACGGAAGTAAAGGGATTCTGGCCTTGGATGTAGCCAAGGGGAAGTGGCGACAAAACTGGATCTGCCCATATCTTCATGTTCCTCCGGATGGCAACCCTGACGCGACAATCCACTTTGCCATTGCTCAGCTTGTGAAGTGCGACGACGTAATCTATCTTTTCACTGAACAAGAGGCTATTGGGAAAGTCACACATTGCATTGACAGGCTGGACTTGGAGAAAGAAGGAGGATTCACGTGGACAAGGAAACTGGTACGCCAGAGACAAGGAAACCGAGCCCTGCTAGTCTACCCGGAATTCACATGCGTCCCAATCAAGGAGAACAAGCTCTGTATCTACAATACAATCGAGAGGACTGGGGTAGTGTATGAAATGGTGGAGGGCCTTATCGACCCTAGTAACTACGAGTCGTTACCTAAACCTCCTCCAATGCACGATGTAGTCAGGTTTCAGAGTCTGAACCCTGTTGGATACGCTTTTGAACCAAGTTTTGGGGTATCATTTCCAGAACTTAAAAAAAGCCCAAAGCCGAAAATTCTTGGTGATTCGAACCAAGCAAGTCCTAGTGGGTCCTCCAAGGTAGCAAGTCATGACATACACCTATCATAGAACATTGACTACATGGGTAAGTAACTATTAAACTCTTCCAATTAGTTGTGTTGTGCGGATTTTATCTCATGTGTTCGGAGTTGTTATTTTTGTTTTAGCTTTGGGAGTAGGAGCAAATCATTGGCAATCAATCTACTAGTTAAATAAATCGATTTGCTCGTTTGTTGTAATGGTCTCCTATTTTGATATTGGAAGAGATCAAAAGAATATTTAGCGAATATATGAACTAAATTTGGAATTTCATCTTCTGATCTAATTCTGAATTTGTCCCCAAAATTTTTGCAAACATATGGATGGTGTCTCATTTGAATAGAATTTTGGATTTTGAACTTTAACAAATGTCTTTTAGTTAGTTTGATTTATATTGAATGTAATCTTTTATTGTTCGTTTATTGTTTATATTTGAAAGTTCTTTTGTTGCTTTGTTCATATTTGATACTCTGTTTCTAAAAATTTTAGATTTTTAATATTACATTGATACTTTTAATTAAGTCTTCATTAATGCTACTATTTGATGTATTATTGTTTATGTTTTTTTTTTCAAAGGCTTCAGATAATATTGGCTTGTAGAAAAAAAAACCTAAAAAGAGACATCTATTTAGTAATTTTTTTTTTTAAAGACTTACGAAATATAAGCCATTACTTTTTAAAAGCACTTTAATGTTAGTAAAAGTATTTGTTTTAAGTATAAGGAGTTAAGTATAAGGTGTTTTAAGTAAAAGAAGTTTATCTCTTTTGTTTAAATTTTATTAATCATATTTAAATTTTTGGATTTTACATTAAATATGGATAATTGAATTGATTGTAGATAAAACTAATAAAGTATAGTAGATTTATATTTCTATAAGGTCTTAGTTATTTTCTAGTATTAAGTAAGAATAGACATAAATAATTTCATATAGTACAAATATTATAACTTTATGTTGTTGAATTTCATTATTGAGTTGAATATTTTCAAATTGAAATAATATGATTTTTGTATAATAGATGCCAAAGTATATTTTAAATGTTAACATAAATTAGATAGAAATATCACATAATGTATAGTTTTATTAAATGCAATGTACAAAAAAAAATATTCACAAATAAAAATTATATATATCATAATAGTAATATAGATTCATTTTATATTCTATTTCACAATGAGTAATGAAGATTATAAAATTTATTTGGAAATAATTGTATAGTAGCTATTTCTACTAAATTAAATCAATAATTAAATAAATAGAATACAAAAATTTACATCAATTTGTGAATATGTTCATAATGTATAGTGACTTTTTACCACTCATAGTACATATTATTAGGTTGCTAACAGAGTGTTTTAATTCTTGGATATAATAAATTTTATCCATCAATCCTTTTGCAACATAGTCATGTAAAGATTATAATTCTTGTATCAAAAATGAGAGTTTGAACTTATAAAAAATTAGTAATGATTCAAGGATAAAACTTTGTTTAAAAATTGGATTGCTGCAAGTTATTCTAAGGACAATATCACATCTAACATAATATAAATTAGCAAATATAAGCATAATTATTATTCTACAATAAAGCTTCTAATTGTTGTAAGAGCCATTTGTGGTGAATGCTTGAATTAGAGCTATTTTTATATCAACCTAATGTCACAAATATACATATTTACTTAGATTTACAAGAATTAGGTAGAAGTAAGTAAAAATAAATAAATCTGATAATATCTTATAGAATAGCTTTTAAAAAGCTTCATAGATACAAATCTGACTTTATATGTATTTATTAATAATTAATAGGTTAAAAATTAGGCCAAAAAGTTAGCCGCATGTTATATATATTGGCCACTTGTAGTAGAAGTTTACCATGTGGCATATATATAAAACTTGTCTTATAAATTAAATACATATTTTGTAATTTGGATACATGTTGGAAGTCTTATAGAACATTGCTATGTAGTTTTTTTATTAGATACTATATATATAAAAATAAGAATAAAGCCTTCTTTAGTCTTTTCAATGTCTTATTTGTTTTTAGTCTTGTTTTAAGAGTTTCTAATCTTTTTGTCTTTAGCAATAGCCATTCTAGTCTTAATATTATATTATTTTTGAATTATTATTTATTCTTTTCTTATAATACAAGAATGTATTGATTTTTTGATTTTTTGTGATTGAAGTTTTTAATAGTTTGATAAGAGTGGTAATTTACTATTCTTGTTTTATTTTGTTGTGTTTTAAAGACAATAGACTATCCACCTTTAAACTAATTATTTTTTCTAATATTAATTTTTTTTAAAAATAGAGTGAGCTATCTTTTTATACAAATTTTTTTTATTTGATATTAGAGGTTGTGGATTACTAACTTTTAATTTGACTTATAGATTTGTTAAAATTATTTGTTATAAAGATTGAAGAAAAAATGATAGATGCTATACTTAATAGAAGTGAAAATAGATTTGTAAATGTTATAAATTTTTACAAGCTTGTAAATACTCTTAGGCTGGAAATTTTACATATTATCAACACCAATTATGGAAGTACTATTCTTATATCTATGGAAGAAGTCAATAATGAAGTTTAGTGTCTATACCAAAAAATTGTGCAGTTGAAAGACACAAGCAGATGAACTTTACAGTTGAATTTAAGAAATCTTAATTCTATAAGTATAAGGGATATAAAGATTAATATGCAAGAGAAATTTGATGGAAGAGGATCAAAATTTTGAATATTTTTATAACAAGTCAAGTTCTATTTAAGATTATATCTTTATGAATATTTTGATGGATTAACTCAAATTGGATTTATAAGTGCACCTATATTTGAAATTTATCTCTCTTGATTTGTATCTTTGATAGAAAAAGATTTATGATTCTTATATGAATAAAATTCATTCTTAAAAGTATTTATGATTACATTTGGAGAAAATAATTAAAAAAATGTAGCAAAGACAATACTCTTATTTTTACAAAAAAGATTACAATTAACTATCATATATGTTGTTAAATTCTATAACCTTTTTTGTGACGTAGATTGGAATCACAAAGTCCTTATCAATCAATTTCAATATAGATTAAAAGATAATGTTAAAGATTTATTATTGACAATATATATTTAATGGAATAATTTACTACTCAAGCCAATATTCATAACAATTTATTTTTTAAAAGACATCAAGAAGAAAGATTTAAATGGAAAGAAATAAGTTAAGTCATAACAATAACTTTCAAGTTTTTAGAAACTTATTTATTAAGGCCTAAATCTATACAAATTGATATGGTATGTTTTAAACCTTTCACTCAGCAAGAAAAGACTTAATGTTGTTAAAAATGATAGTATTTATAATATAGAAAATCTAAGCATATTTCTAAATATTTTCTAAAAAACAACTCAATTACAAAATGGAGAGCATAGTTGCCAAAAAAGATGATGCATCAAAAAATAAGTTTATTCAATTATAATAGAAATTATGCAGCTAGAATCTTGTACAATAACTAATAAAGATCTATTTTTGTTTTAGATCTATTATTTTTCTTTATGTAGATATTTATTTAGGACCAAAAAAGTTAAAATTTTTTACATTATTAGATTCAAGAAGCTTAGTTTATTTTATAAATGAAGACTTTGTTAAAAAACAAGAAATATTTTTAATCAAGAAAATGAAGTTTGTACATATAGATGTCATAAATGGATATTTGTTATCTTTATAAAATATTATACATGAAATTATTCTTATAAATATAATAATTAATGGTAATAAAAATTTAATAATATTTAATATTATTAAATCTTATTTTAACTTAAATATTTGAAATTTATTATGGATAAAAAAATATAATCTTCATATAAATTAGATTTCTTCTAATTTTTATTTTTTTAATATCATAATCCAAATTTTTGTTATCTTAATAAAAAGACATAAGTCTAATAGAGCCAAATCTTTATTTATAGATACTAGAGCTTTTATGCATATTACATAAAAAAATCATCTTTTTTAATTCATACCAAACCCATTTTTGATGGGAGAAAAACTTCAAGTGCCATTTTGAGTCAATATAAGGATTATCAAGAGGTTTTTTTAAAAAAAATGTAAATATTCTTCCAAAGCATTTCCCTTATGATTGCTTAATTGATCTTTAAGAAAAAATTCAACTGCAATTTGGACCAATCTATAGCTTATTAAAAAATAAGTTGAATGTACTCAATTACATCTTCTTTTGGTGCAAGATAAGAATGACTGAAAAAGGCATTTGAAAAACCTTATTTTTTTCTTGGTTGATCAATGATCTTAAATTCAAATTGTAATAAAAACATGTTCTAACAAGCTCGTTAAAGATTCAAAGTATATATTGATATAAAGTACTTGATATTCTTATGATGTGTATAAACAATCTTTGAATTTGAAGTGCTTTTTAGATAATGATGTAATATTTTTAAATATATCTTTGATTTTAAGAAGTTTGTTATTGTTGATTTTATAGTTGATCTTAGCTATTGAATATATTCTTGAATAAAAAGCTATTGAGTGAAGTTTATCACTTATTTTTATTTGTGACAATGTTATATTTAAGGCTTAATCTAATACATTTGTTTCTATAAAAAAATTCTTAGAAAATTCAACACAATATAAAATTAGTAAAAAATTAAAAATCATTATCAAAACTTCAATTGATGCTTTCACTTCTTTATTCCACTTAAATTTGTCTCTACTTATCAAATATAAAAGTAAAGCTATAGACTACATTTTTTTCAATAAAAATATGATAATAATTAAAAAATATTAAATATCTTTTATTATTTTAAGAATCTTTTAATCAATGATATTTTTAAGTTTCTTAGGATCCATTAAAAAATAATTATTTGAAATAAGGTATCATAAGAAATCAACTTTAGTAGTGTAAAATACATATTTTTTTAATTTTGACATATAATATAAAAAATTTAAGTATAAATATAAAGTTGATGTTTTTTTTTATCGTCTTAGAAGAGATTAAAGTTTTATTTGAATAATAAATAATAAAATTATCTAAAAAATATCAAAAATCATCATTTATAAGTTGTTAAAAAATAATTGATGGATTTGTGAGTCCAAAAGATATTGCATTATATTCAAAATTCTCATATTTTATTCATAATGCATTATTTTATTTTATTTTATTTTTTATGCTTATCCAATGATATATTTTTTATAGATCTATTTTTGTATAAATCTTGGCTTAATTCAATTTCTCAAAAAATTTCAATATCAAAGGTAGAGAGTATCTATTATTGATACTAATCTTATTGAATAGTTGATAATTTACATATATCTTCAGTG